AAAAATAACAAATTTGTTATGAAAACAAAAAATAAAAACAACTTTGATTTGTTATCGATCATAAACCAAAACAAAAAACAACTAAAAAGTATAAACCAACCATAACTCATAAAAACAAAACAGAAAATTGATCTCAAACAATCTATATGTTAATTTCTTCTTTTTTTTCAATTTCTTTTTTAATGAAATGTGGGCAGCAACTCCTCTTATCTCTTCTATACTTGGAAGGATCTGATAAAACAAATAGCTAAAAACTCAATCGGAAAAACTACACAAATAAACGACGAACACAACTGGAAGGCCGCTTATTTCAACTCCACCAAATTCTCTGGCTGCTTAAACAACGCTTTCCTATATATTCACTTATATGTACGTAATGAGAGGATTCTTCCACAAAGCTACACAATAGCTACTGATTGAAGCTTGTTGCATGATAATAATGGCTTCATGGGTTGCAAATACTCATGCAGCAGTGGCCATGGTGTTGCTGTTGTTGATGCAGTTCGAGCTCCCGGCCAGATCAAAACCCATGATTACAGACCCAAAATGTTCGCTGGCGAGATGGAGAAAACGAATATGGCGATCCAAAGCTTTTTTTTTTATTAGCCCAATATATATATATATATATATATATATATATATATATATATATATATTTGGTTTAAGAAGCCATCCCTAATATGTGAGTTTTTAATGATAGATCACCAATGATGTTGAGTTATAGTAAGTGTGTGTGTGTTTCCAATTACTTATAGTTAGGGATGTAAATGTATAATTTACTTACAAGTACTTTCTATCTTATTTTTGTAAGCAATTGTCCATCCTAAGCTAGTGCAAAGTATTGATAAGTATGATTTATATAAGTTCATTGTATATAGTCATAATCAGCATATCCCAATTAAAATTATAAAAAGTGAAATAAAGTGCCCATACTTTAAAGCAGTTTTTTAGCACAAAAAATTTTTTAATTAAAAATTATTATACTAAAAAGTTACTTTAGAAAATAATAAAAAACTGTTCCAAATGAATGATAAGTATGATTTGTATAAGTTCATTGTATATAGTCATAATCAGCATATCCCAATTAAAATTATAAAAAGTGAAATAAAGTGCCCATACTTTAAAGCAGTTTTTTAGCACAAAAAATTTTTTAATTAAAAATTATTATACTAAAAAGTTACTTTAGAAAATAATAAAAAACTGTTCCAAATGAAACCTAAGTTGCACAAGTCAATCTTTCTATCAGGATAACGGATGAATTAGCTTTCTTATATGGTTTCAAATTTGATCTAAATATGTTAGAATTTTTTTTTGAATAATGTTCGAATCGATGATCACGTTGGCTTAAAAAAAATTCAGAAGTCAAATATATGGTATATTGATACTTAAGAAAATTTTAGATATATTACTCCAAAAAAATTTATACGTTCCAAAATTTTTTTCCTAATTTAGAATATTATGTTATATAACAGAGTTCTGCATTGGGTGCCCATATCCACACACACCCACGTACCCACCCATACCCAATGGGCATGGGTGGGTATGAGTACGCCCATGACCTCGTGGGTGGGTATGAGTGGATACTCAACATCAGAGGACAAACTAATTTACATTACTAATTATCATATGTATGCAGTATATTACAGTAATCCTTACTACGCAGTGTGCAACACTGAATCGTGTCGTGACCACGATAAATTTTGATATGTGGCTTGAAAGTTTGCAGTCAGAGAAAATGACAAAAAACCCAAGGTCATTAATCCGTAGCAGACTACATTCAAGAAGCGTGAAAAGTGGGTGGGTATGACATCCCGAAAGTCACCATAGGTGGGCATGAGTGAGCAAAGCCCGCTAGCGCAGAGCGTGGGTACCCAACGAGGACCCCGTGTAGGGCTCTGTTATATAAATATTTATAAATTAGTCATATTGTGATTAAAAAATAATAGAATATAAAATATGAAACTAATTTTACAAATAAATTTACTATTTATATTCCCGAACAGCCAAGGGCGGAAGCCAAAGTGAGTTCCTCGATCAGCTTCCTCCTGCATCAAGGAAGAACAAAGATGGCAGCTCTCATGAAGCGCCGTAGCTGTTTCTTAACTCAACTCCTCCCCTCCCAGTTACCGCGATCGCGATTGCTCTCCACGGATGCCCTCGTCGAGTACAAGCCTGGCGAGATCGGGTTCGTTTCCGGTATTCCTGAGGAGCATCTCCGTCGTAGGGTATTCCCTCTTCAGCTCTTTTGTTTTTTCCCCCCTGTTACAATTCCCTTTTGTCGCCTCATGATGGATAGCTCCTTTCATGCGTATGGAGGCCTTTGAACCCTCTTTGAGGAATCAATCTTTGGTTCAATTTCCTGTTTCTAATATGGGGTTCTTAGTCCTATCATCCAGAAGTGAATGATTTCACAATTACGGGTAGAAATGTCGAGATCTTTTAACCTACGTCAGTCCCTTGTGCTAATTACAAATCAGAAGTCTAGAAAATCTGCGCTTCATCAGAGTTTACAATTGCAATGCACTCCATACTTCTTTTTAATTGTTTCTGATTCTTGCAAATTACGATTGCCGTAATCGCACTGCAATCTCATCACGTAATAATGTTTTGTGTGAAGCCTCATAAGGGTACATAGCTAGCACCTCTAATAACGTGGTTTTGCTTCTTGAAGGATTTGTTATTATGACCGGCGCTATAATCCTGCAAGAGTAGCTCAAAAGCTGTTTACAAAGCTTGAAAGCTGTGATCAAAATTTAAGACAGTTTTTATTTCAAAAACCATGAGAATAGTAGAGTACTATGAATGTCTGCCATGTTGCTACCAACTTAATATATTTATGTTTGTTTGGTTGCAACCAGTGATGTTATAAGTGCATGTGTTTTTTGAGCCTGCATAAACCGTATAAAATTGTTGGTATTTCTTATCAACTAACTGTATAAGTTTTAGGAGTTTCAAGAAATAGTTTAAGTGTGAAAGAAAAATAGACTTTTATACGGTAGTAGGGTGCAGAGTCATGGAGTTTATTTCACATTGTAACCTAACAGTAATTGGCTCATAACATAAGTCAAGAACTTTCATATTTTATAATGGCTTCTATCGTCACAGTTGTTTAAACAAAAATGCCTGAATTTGACACCATTTGCAAAATCTAGCATTCAAAACTCGACATAGGGTATGTGGAGGTATTCTAGAAATAATAGGGAATTAAAAGAAACAAAAGATAAAGATGCCAAAGAACAAATCCTCAAGTTGTAGATCTTGAACGTTCAAAACATCTGGACTGTTTAATCCTGAAAAAAAAAAAGGAATCCAAAATGTTGGTGCAATAATCTTTCATTCAACCCCTTGTAACATAATTTTGTAAGGAATAAGGTGTTAAACTGTTAATTGTTATTTATGGAAATAGTTAGCAACTAAAAGTTCATACTACCTCCTTGGTTTATTACATAATAACCTTCATGAAGATAAGAAATACTATAAAAAATGCTAATTCTTAATAAATTTAAAAAATTTTCTACATAAAGAAAATTCTAGCTATCAAAATTATCATTAATTGAATGAAAAACAACATGCTTCATCAATCGTCCCAAGGTAGGAAGAATTCTCTTTTGGAGAGTAAGAGTGGTGGATCGCTTTTTAAGATTTAATGGCACTAATGAATTTCTTCAATCAAAGCCTGAAGTTTTTGAAGTTAGAAAACATCTCAATCTTCTTAGAACACTTGTAACGTTTCCAATTTCTACCAATGAAAATACCAATTACAATAAAAAACATACTTTCACTTGCATAAACTTAACCTGCAGAAACATTTACGGTAAATACTGAATTATTGTTGGTTCTTTGACTCAATAATAGAGTTGCATTATTAAATGCGATCCAATACTAATTTAAAAAGGCTAAGAATGCATAAATTATAAACACACTCGATCCTTGTTGATTACCTATATAATAAGGCTTTACAGCTCTGATAAGTAAACACAGATTGGTGGGTGCATGTCATATTCAAAGTCAAAAATAAAATTGTAGACATCATGAAAACTTTATAAACATTATAATAAGCATGCATGACAACCATATAATTTTCATCATCTTCCAAAGTCAATTGAAATCAATAGTTAATTCATGCAATTGCTCATCACATTATGCAATAAAGTTATAAAATGCTTTCATTTGGAATTTAGTAGCTATTGGCTATCTAATGACTAAATCATTAAGTGAAGATGAAGTAATAAAGGATTTAGAATCAAATTCTATGAGCTGTAAGTTATTTAGTTTTAGCTATTCAAATTTAGTTTTTATTTTAGATATATGATACATTGTATATGATATTAATTTGTTATTCAATCATTTGTTCAAATCATCGGAAAGAGGTCCATAGTGCTCTAATTCTTTGATATTTTTTGTATTGGGATTTGAAATAACAGCATATTCATAAAAGATATAATTACATGAGAATAGTGAGGTATGATATTTTTTTTTTTATGTCTGTAGCAAATGGTCTTAAGTATAAAATGTACCAATAAATTGGTCATTTTTAGTGTTAAGTTTTTTGAAGGGTGTAGATTTAGATTGAACTACGAGATAAACAACTTTTTGACTTAATAGATTCAATGAACATAATTTAGTGGTTACAAATTGATTGGCATGGTCTTATGAGGAAAGGCACAATCATCTCTACTTTCTAATGCTTTGTGATGAGATTCATTTATAGTCTTTTATTCAAAGAGTCATACTTTTTTCTTAATTTAAGATGATGACCATCCACAAATTAAGATCTTACTATGTGTGTGTACCTCCAATATTTACTACTCTAGGAATTGAATCTATAACCCTCCAATTTGTGTAACTTGTTTCCAAGCTCACATCTTTCTTTTAAATACACTTGTTGCTTGTTTCACATCACCTTATGTCAAGTTATTATCATGAAAATTTTGTCTTTTGTGTTTGAAGGATTAACAATGACCTCTTAAATCAAGGCAAAGTGCTCGTCTCACAACTTGGCAACTTTTGTTTTTCGCTAGTTATTGATTTCTTATGGTTCTAAGTTGCATACTTTTACAGACAAGTATTGCAAGACAAACACATTTTAAGGACATGTGACTGTCTCCTATGTTATCCATACTAAAAAAGAACAAAGCTATTTCCATTTATTTTTCAAAATCCTCCTATTTAGAGAAAATTTATTAACTTTTTTGTGGGATCTCTCTCTCTCTTCTTTTAGTTGTGCAGATATAGCATGATTCCTCCTAAGTTTTCAATCGAAATTATTCGAGGATCATTTGTTGGTGGTGTAGAATGAGTTTTAACATAAATATTATCGTAGAATGATGTGCAAATCTTACAAATTTCTTTCCTTTTCTTTTATTCTATTATAAAATTTTGATATGCTACACGCTGTAGTACTTTATCATATGATGTTATTGATTTAGAGAAAGCATATGATAAAGTTTCAAGAGAAGTTCTATGGAGAGTTCTAGAAAAGAATAGAGTTAATAATGTTTACATTGAAGTCGGTAATGATATGTATGTTGGAGCTGTTATTTGTGCTCAAACACAAGATGGTTTGACCAAGTATTTTTCTTATTTTAGTTGGATTGCATCAATGATCAGTCTTAACCCCATATCATTTTGCTTTAGCCATGGATGTTCTCACTAGACATTTGCAAGAGGTTGTACCTTGGTGTATGCTTTTTGCTGATGATATTATTCTTGTTGATAAGACGGGAGTTGAAGGTAAACTTGATTTATGAATGTCAATCTTAGAGTCTAAATATTTTCATTTGAGTAGATCTAAAATTGAATATAGAGTGTAATTTTAGTAATAATAGATCTAGCGGAGGGATTGTGACTTTGAGCAATCAAGTCATTAATAAGAGTACATGTTTTAGACATCTTGAGTCTATTGTTCAAAGTGATGGTGAAATAGATGGGGATATTATTAGTAGAATTCAAGTTGGATAGTTGAAGTGAAGAAATGCAGCGGGCTTGTTGTGTGATAGAAAAGTCCTCCTCCAACTTAAGGGAAAATGATATAAGATGGTGGATAGACTTGCAATGCTCTATGATGCATAATGTTGGCCATTAAAAGAGAAGCATAATATTAAGTTAAGTGTTGCAGAGATGAGGATGCTTGAAGTGAAGAAATGCAGCGGGCTTGTTGTGTGATAGAAAAGTCCTCCTCCAACTTAAGGGAAAATGATATAAGATGGTGGATAGACTTGCAATGCTCTATGATGCATAATGTTGGCCATTAAAAGAGAAGCATAATATTAAGTTAAGTGTTGCAGAGATGAGGATGCTCAGGTGGATGAGAGGCGTAAGTCTTAGAGATAGGATATGAAATGAGCATATACGTGAAAAGGTTGGAGTAGCTCCAGTTGAAGATACGATTAGAGAGAGTCGACTTAGATGGTTGGTCACATAAAACGGAAGCCTTCTGATGACCCGATTAGGAGATAATGTCAATCAGGTATTTTAGGTTGGTTGTCCGTTTGTCATTTTATCAGTAATGAAGGGTAAGATATTAATTGGACTTTTTAGATGCACTTGTCATCATTTTAATTTTAGTAGACTTAAAGTTTCCATTAACTTATGGATATTAATATAATTAGTAAGCCTTAGATTGTTATCCAGTTGATTGATGGTAGAATAGCAACAAAAGTTTTCTTTTGGCATCACCATGGGCGATTAAACCCTTAATTGTCTTACTCATAGGGTTTCTTTATGTCTTCTTTCCCTTTGCTTTCTATCTCCATTCTTTCAGATATTCATTATTCCAATTTTCTCAATCTCCTACTTCTAACTAAATTCTTCCCTTTTCAAAAATCAAGATATCAAAAGCCAATCATAATCTTCACTATTTTTTCTCTACTTACATCAATTAGCAAGCATAGAAACATTCTTGCATTCCATGAAGAAATGATAGGATAATCTCCTTAATTTTGAGCTTTCGATAGGGATTCATCACCAACATCATTAGCCTAATCCCAATCATTTAGGAATGATGTTATGAATCCTCATTTTGCATTCGTTGTTTTTGTGTGATGTTTGATGTGTTAAACCTATATTTCACAAACCATACAAATATTCTTGCATTCCATGAATAAATGATTGGATAATCTCTCCTTTAACTTTGAGCCTTTGATAGAGATTCATCACCATCATCATTAGCCTTATCCCAATCATTTAGGAATGATTTTATGAATCCTCATTTTGCATTCATTGC